ATGGTATAGTGGTTAATGCTCTGGACTCCGAATCCAGTGATCCAAGTTCATATCTTGGTGGAACCTGTTCCTTGAGGAAGAGACCTGGTCAGTCATCCTCATCAACTCATACCTTGAAACCCAGTTCAACTGGGCTACCCATGTCTGCTTCAGTATTGTGGGGGGGCATGTTTCATTTTACCCCTTCACCAGCTTCTCCTGATCCACGCATTGCCAGGGGGTGGGGGGAACACGTTTTGTTTCACTCCTTTGCCAGCTTTTCCTACTTCTACTTAATTCACTTTGAGTCTCTGCTTTTTAAAAATAATAATTTAAAAAGTCATCAAGTCTGATCTGTGCTACTCTAATACTCTTGGGTGTGAGGCTATTGCCTCGACCATGGTGATCTGACTGAGCAGGGTCACAGCTCTAAAGAAGAAATGATTATTTCCCACTAGCTCTAGATTCCAGTAGATCCTCAGCCAGGGTGAAACTTCATGCCAACCTCCCCTGGCATGGGCCAGAATTTTGTCCTGTTTGAATTTGCTCAGGTCTAATGCCTGCCTTCATAGTAACATATCATTATATCCATCGATTAGTGCCATCTCTCAACCCTCATCAAAAAAGCCTCTGATCGCAGCAGATAGTTATTAACACAAAGACCTAGAAGTGGTCAATGGGATGAGAATAAGAGCCCAAAGCATACTTAGTCCAAATGGAACATCTGTATTACACACCATCCTTCAAAGGCTCAGGGGGCAGCATGGCAGAGCGGTGGGAAAGACTGTAAGAGACAGGAAGGATGGATGACGTCAAGAAAACAATATTTTAAATCTTGTTTGGTTCTGAGAACAACCAGCCCTATAAAGTGCCCTTATGTCATCCATATTCATAGACATTAACTGTCTAAAAAAGTACAGAGGAGCCACAATTTGAATTCCAGGGAGCCCTAATGCTAATGGTGTGCTGTGTCTCTGATACATAATTTAAAAACAAATATAACTCATCTTGATTGTCCTATTAGGCAGAGGGAGTGAATTGTTTCACATAAACAGAGGGAGGGAAAGAGCAAATGGAGATTATCTCTCAAACTCTTCAAAATGCCTTCCACTTTGTAACTGAAACACACTGTGGCCCCTCTGAGGTACACCTGTTTATTATTTGGAGGCAAGCACATGGGCTTATGTTCATTCAGGTTCTATAGAAGCATCTGTTGCTTCACTAATTTTATTTCACAAGCCCAGTATTCAGAAGCAGAAAGATCTTAAGTTCAAGACTATCCTGAGATACTTTTTTTTTTTAATGAAGGAAAAGGAAAGAGCAAAGAAAAGAATATCTTGCCTGTCAACAACCCAACAGGACAGGCAGTTTTGCTTTGGTTAACAAAGTCATACTTCATCACTGAAGGTGGAGGCCATCAGCCTGCCTCCTTTTAGTTCTTGATAGACTTAATCCCATCTAGATCCTAACTAGGTAGAGAAATAGGTATATCTACATAGAAACTATTGACTACGTCAGCCAATAATAAACAAGGTAAGGCTGGCTCTCTGGGATAAGAAGGAATACAAATCTTTTGTGATCATTTTCTGATTTTGTCAGGTTCAGGGATGTAGTTAACTCAAACGAGCTGTGATCGTCCCATCTGCATTTCCTATTGATTTTATTTAACCACACGAATTAGTGCAAATAAATCTGATTTATTCAGGAGATCTTAGGAGAAGAAAAACACAGGGCCATTCGACTGCATGCTTAGCAGTGCTGAGAATCCGGGCACTGAGAACCTTAACTGCTGTACGGCTATGGAGCAACAGGAGGTTGTGCGGGCAAACAGTGGCACAGCAGCTGCTTTGTTTAATAAACTGATTATTTTCATAAGATTCAACAATCGCACTCTTGTATTTATCCAGAGGAATTCAAAACTAAAGTACATACAAAATCGAGCAAATGTTTAGGTGTCTTGGTACATAATTTTTAAAACTTGAAAGCCACAACCTAACAGAGAAGCAGATAAATTCACGATAGTATATCCAGAAGCAGGATGTTAATCAATTATCTACTCACAACTGAGGAGATATTCTTCACCTGGATTTTATTTTATTGTTGTATTATATAAAACATTACATATTAGCTACCATAGAGTTGTGTTTTAATAATCCATAAAACCTAAAGCCTTTTAAGATTTGACTTTTAAGGACTTGTGCAGAAAGAGTTGGGGAGGTGCTGCAGTCAGTAAAGTGTGCTATGAGGACTTGAGTTCGGATCCCTGGCATGCACATAAAAACCTGGAGATGTGGTGGCTTACATATGTGATGCCAACAGTGGGCAGGTGGAGCCAGAGGGGTGCCTGGGGCTCCATGAACTCTATATTCAGTAAGAGATCCTCTCTCAAAATCTAATGTAGAGAGCAGGAATTGTTTTAGTTGGGGTTTCTATTACTGTGAAGAGATGCCATGACCAAGGCAACTCTTATAAAATAAAACAGTAATTGGGGATGGATTACAATTCAGAGGTTTAGTTCATTATTGTCATGGTGGGAAGCATGGGGACGTATAGGCAGACACAGTACTGAAGAAGTAGCTGAGAGTCATACATCTAGATTGGCAAGCAGCAGGAAGAGCATGTGAGTTATTGGGCCTGGCTTGAGCTTCTGAAAGCCTGCTGCCAGTGACACACTTATTCTAGCAAAGCCACACCTACTCCTGCAAGGCCACACCTCAATAATGCCACTCCTTGTGAGTTTATGGGGGGCATTTTCATTCATACCACCACAAGAAAAGCAGTTAAGACACCCAACCTCAGCCTCTAACCTCATGCATGTGCACACATACACACATGTGTCAGCCAAGCACATGTACACATGCAAGCAAGAACCAACTATTCAGCTTCCAGAACTGTTATTTCATATTACTTTATTAAATTGCATAAATATGAAATGCATTATTACAAATTAAACATATTTACAAAATTAAAACGTAACTTACTAACTTCCTCCCACTTTTAATATATCTATGCCTGATATCTGGTGAGATTTATTTCTTCTCTCTCCATGACTTCATCATTATTAGAATTCATAGAATTATAAAGCACAGAACACATATGCAAATACACACAGAGGGGGAAAAAAAGGACTTTCCTTCTAGCCTTTGTGTACACATGGAGCACCCCTCTGAGTTGAGGCGATGAAGTGGCTGGGGCTGCAGTGCAGACATGCTCGGTTCAACACACACACACACACACACACACACACACAAACACAGGGTTCTGAATGCTGCCAGACAAGCCCAGGGTAAAATTGTGAGGGAGGGACATTGTTTCCGGTTCCATTGTTTTGTTTTGTTTTGTTTCTTAAATCAATTCAGCAGTCCTTTCAGATGACTTCCCCAGGCATCCTTACCCCCTGCAGGCTGTGCACAGTGCACAGAAGAGAACTCCGCATTCACTCAGCAGTGCTGTGCCCTGGGAGTCCTCCCCTCTGTCTTCTCTGGTGCTTTTCCCATGGGAGGCACAATACACAAAAGGCTACATCATGCTTTCCGGATGAAAGAATTGGGGTTCTGTGAGCACTGTGAGGCTTTCTTCTTCTTCTGTTTGCATTGTGTGCATGAGTGAAAACACTTCTCATAGGCTCCCAGTGAGTCGTCAGTGTTCCACCCGGTGTGCACGAAGCCTTCCTTCCCTCCTTATGTTTGTAAGCTGGTGTGGGAAATGCCCCCTTGAGGTCCCTGCATACCACATCCTGGACTATTCACAAAAGGCCTTTTCCCCGCTCGTTCCTTTGCAGGGATTATTGCTCAATTTTGAAAAGCAATATTTTAGTAAATCTGTAGAACCCTAAGGTAGCAAGTTATATATTAATTAACTCTCCTCATTCATTCATCTCTTATGTGGTGAACATTTACCATGAGCATGGAAATGCACTTGGGATGAAAATATATTGGAGAAGCAAATGAAGAATTCAGTCCTATGGGACCTTGGGATGCTGGAGGGAAAGTAGGGATGCCCAGATTGCAGCGTGAAGCATGCAGCTGAGCACCATTGAGAGAGTGGCAGGATACAGCATGTGTCCTAGCACATTTCTTGGATGAATACGTTTTCTGGAATATGAAAATTAAATCTTGGAGGTGTCAGGCCTTCATCCCTACTAACACTGCAGTCTAAAGAAAGACAAAGCAGCCCTCTCAAGTGAATCGGGTGATTGTCCCCACAAACACAGCAGAGTTCAGATATGGCTTAGCTGATGGCCATGCCAAGAAAGAGTCTGTGTATTAATGAGCTACTTTGTTCTCTTTTCAATTTAAATATTTAAATCGCCCCCAGTGTTAACAGGCAGCAAAAAGAACATAAATCTGGAATATGTATCACAAAGCATTTGTTGCGTTCATCTCCAGATGACTGTTTCCTTTCAACAAATAGAACATGGAAACATAATGTACTCTTCACTTCACTTGCTAATCAAAGATTTAAGTATACAATGTGCTTAGTGGAGCCACCCACACTGTGCCTCGCACTCCGAGTGACCTTCTTCATCCCCCAGAGCTTCTGAGACAAAACCCCAGTGTCGGTTATTTCGGTTTCCCATCTAGCGTCAGTGTCTTTACGTGTTTGAGGTCTTCTCCTGTTTAGTAGAATACTTTCAGTCTTTTCTGTATCAACACTGCTGCCCTTGAAGACAGTGGTAAAATTCAGTAAGGTGTTAGGAACGGTAATCATTCTAACCCCATGAGCACGTGACGTTTTTGTTTTCTTTATAGAAACATCTGAGACACCCATTATGAAGTTAAAATCATATTTCCAAGATTCTGTCATTCAAAAGCGGTACATTCAGCTCCTTATTGGTGGGTTATTAAGGTGGCTGCCCGGAATGGAATCCAACAAGAGCGCTCAGTTGTTTTCTTTCCCCTTCCTAAGCCTAATTCAGTCTGTGCAGTTGTTGATGGCAGGTTTTCTGAGGATAACAGTGCTTGGACTCAGACAGTGGAACTTGACTCTCCAAGGCCAAAGCTGTTTCCCTGTTCTTTCAGATAAGGAGACAAGGAGGCATCCAGCTCCTGGTGGACCTGCTGGACCACCGGATGACGGAAGTCCACCGCAGTGCCTGTGGGGCTCTGAGGAACTTGGTGTATGGGAAGGCTAATGATGACAACAAGATCGCCCTGAAAAACTGTGGTGGCATTCCAGCGCTGGTGAGGCTGCTTCGCAAGACCACAGACCTGGAGATCCGGGAGCTGGTCACAGGTGAGGCCTCTCACTAAATGGTTCTGTTTTGTCTCAAGATGCGTGTTTCTTTTTCTAGCCCAGTAGCAAATGTAAGAACCAAGTATTACAACACAGAGCCTCCCAGATCTGATAGCACAGTCATTCTCCAATTTCCAATGAGTGAGCAAAATACCATCAAAGGCAACTCACATAGGTTGATCGTACTTAATAATCCAGTAAAGGCAGCTATCACCAAAATCCTGTGATCTTACTTCAGTCCTTGTTATTTGCTTTAGAAGTAGTTGAATATCTTACAGGATCCACAGGCCGTCATTAGAGTAACATTAGAAATACCTGATAAAAAAAACGAGGCATGCAAGCTATTGGCAATCAGCCGCATGTTCTGGTTTATAAGTACACTGAGCAGATTGTGCTTCTAGTGTGAATTTATTGAGTAAAATACCCCTGCGTGCTCCACGTCCCAAGGTTATAGTACTGAATACTAAAGAACTATTTGAAAATTAACTTGAATGCCTTTCCACATTCACAGAACTTTGGGTTTTAGACATAATAACGGGAGCTTGTAGATTATTGAGGGTGCAAACAGGGAGAATGTTGAAAGCAGTCAGCCCATACCTTTCTTGGAATAATTGGACAGAGTACATGTTAACCACTAACTGTCATTCCTCACTTTGTAAGTGTGTGGTCTTAACTCGTTGGAGTTCTAATGACCTGCATGTCCCCGGTATGGGATTCCAAATTGCTCTGAAGCTTCCTCTTCTTCGTTATGCTTGCTGCTGTTGTAGATGATGTTTGGCATCTGGTTCATTAAAGAACCCCTACAAGCAACTCTTTGACAAATGAATTCCAAATGCAACTTTCCCAAAAGATCTCTTAATTATCCACGATACCATTGCATTGACCTTCTGCCTCGGGTCTAAAATTTCCCTGTATCTACGTGGATGAAGTATGTGAAAAACTTAGTTAAGGACATACGTAGCTCAAGCTACAGAGTCATAAATAGACATCCAAGGCCGGGGCCAGACTCCCAGTTTCAGTACATCTCCTGTGTCTTCTTCCTCCAATGTCTTTGTTCTGCCGTTTTCTTGTTTTTAGCTAAGTTTAAACGAGACCCACATTGCCTCATTCTTTTTTATTTTTTCTTTGTTATGTCCTCCACTAACCCTTACTTGCTTGCTGGCTTTATTTCTCCTTCATTTTTCTATAAGTAGAGGGTTTTCCTTTTGGAAATGATTATTAGCAAGGGTTAGAGTATTATTAAAGCAATGTTTCACAATAATCTCAGATGGGTCAGGCAAGGTAAAGTGGTCATTATGTGCGTTCTGTGATTTTTTTGAGGACTGTTTGGAGGTGAGTTAGATAATCTAAACTACTCCCTGTCATTATGGTTATGCAAGACAGCCTTTATTTTCACTGGCTGAGTGTGAGTTGGGAATGCCTGGGAGAAAAGGTCGCGATATGTGTGATGGAAACAAGATGCTTGGTGCATAAAGGTTTTGCTACTGGATGCAGAAGGCCAGGAGAATGAGAGTCTACAGTGCCTTCTGCACATGCTGTGCATGCCATCTCCTGTTTGGAAAAGACTTGCAATTAAGTCAGCTTTGTATTGTCTGTAACACAAAACCATTATCTCAAGGCTGCTTCAATAGCATTTGTCCCATTGGCAAAGAAACGGTGTCAATGTCAGAGGTAGAGAAACCCATTGCATGGGCTGCTGCTGCTGGCCCTTGAACTGGCTACAAAGGAGACGAGAGAAGCCGAAACATTCCCCGTCCGCCTTTGGAAGATCTTGGAAACTACCATTTTAACCCAAAACAATGATAGAAATGTCTCTGTGAGCTCCATTTGGAAATAATAAAAACCATACATCCTTCTCGGAGGGTCAAGAAGACGCCACTTGTGGCGAAGCTTGGGCTGTGGGAAGGATGTAGTTGGTACTTGGCTTACAAAGACCTTCCCTTCTTACTCTGCTTCTCCTGAGGAAAGCCAGACAAGTGTGTCCCCATGGTGGCCAAAACTTTGTTCGCCTTCCTTCCTGAAAGGAACGCTGTCTTTGACTCAGCAGCAAATCAATTATGAAGAATCAAAGTTAGCACCCTAGCCAATGTTCCCTGCCTTCCCAGAGGTGGAGTGTTATAGTCTCGCTGTAGCTGGAATTAGCTTTGTAGGTGATGTACTTTGTAGGTACTGCAAACTTGGGCTGCAATACCATCCCACAGAAGGAAACAGGAAGAAGGAAAGCACCTGTGAGGACAAGCTTGCAGAGAAGGGTGGGTGCTGAGAAGGGTGGTCAATGCAATCGCAGAGACTTAGGGGATACCAATAAGCCTGCAGAACTCAGTTGGCTTCTGTTTAGACATCACACCAATGATCAGGTCTAACCAAAGTCAGTCCCCCAGCCTGAGGAACAGGAAATGAGGTGAACTGAAGGTATCTCAGAGAGCCTTAGAGAAACATTTTCATCTTCAGCACTGGCCCATATCATCTGCCAAAGGGAGCTTTGGAGCGCTGATTCTGCTGCCTCCTGCAGAGCGTGAGGAATTCCTGGTCTCAGTTCAACTAACCCAGGTTAACCCCAAGGTCATCAAACCCTCCCAGGTCTCTTTATCTCTCCTCCTCTGAGATACTTGTCTCTGCCCAAGTTCCATGGGCTTCTTGATATAGGAACCCTGCCCATGTGAGCCCAGGAATGTCATGTATTCCATTCATGCATCAAGCACTTCACAGGACCCAGGTGGTGGGTGGTCTGTAGACTTGTTAACTAACCACCCTCCATCTGGAACTCACTGCCAGAGTGAAGTGCTCTGAATGGCCAGTGCCTGGGTATTAATGATAAATAGGTAAAGATACTCTGATGGCTTGAATAGAAATGGTCCCCATAGACTCATGTGTTTGAATGCTTGGCCTATAGGACATGGTACTCTTAAGAGGTGTAGCTTCATTGGAGTACATGTAGCCTTGGTGGAGGAAGTGTGTCACTGTGGGCCAGGTTTTAGGTCTCATATGCTCAAGCTATGCCCAGTGTGGCCCACAGTCTCCTGCTGCCTGGGGGTCAAGGTGTAGAGCTCTCAGCTCCTTCTCCAGCACCATGCCTGCCTGCATGCTGCCATGCTTCTCACCATGATGATAATGGACTAAACCTCTGGAACCGTAAGGCAGCCCCAACTAAATGTGTATAAGAGTTGCCATGGTAATGGTGTCTCTTCACAGCAATCACACCCTAACTGAGACAGGAATATTCTGACAAATGTGTCCACATTTTATAAACTTACTAGATGAGCCATGAGGAAATCAATGTCTATAGAAGGTAGACGAGGATGTGAGAGTGGCTTGCTTCACTTCATTTGCTCCCGGGAGCCTGCACAGCTCCGCAGACCCTTTGGCAATGAGGTCAAGTGTCCACGCATGAATTATATCAAACTGTGACTTCTCAGTTCTGCAGGAGGCATGATGAGAACTCATCAAGGTCTCATGACGTGGTGTGTGATAGGAGTCCTCTAGGTAAAGGGAGCTGTTTCTGTCCTCTGCCCCTGAGCTCATCATAGGAATACAGAGCATTGGGAAATGTTAGGGAGCCAGGGAGAGGGGTTCTTTGGAGTCATTCTGTCTACAGTTATATATTGGGATGTGCAGAATTGTAAGGTGATGAATTAGGTGATTTAAACATGTTTTATAGGCAGGAATTTGGATAAAGTCTTGCTATTAAGTCTCGGAATCAGCCTCTGTGTCCATCCATCAGGGAAATGAGTGAAGAGAAAAGTGACGTATACGCACACTGTAATTGTATTCATCAGTAAAGGGCAGCGTCATGTTGTTCACAGGAAAGTGGATGCACCTAGAGATTAGCATATGAAGAAAATTATCACCCCTTCTCTCATTTGGGGGTCATAGAATTTACATAGATTCGTAAACTCACATATGTATATGTGACAGGAAAAAGTAGAGGTGAGCTCTCTAGGGAAGCTAGAGGGACTCACAGTAGAGGGAGAAATGAGTAGGGCCGTGACGTGGTCAAATGCCTGACATCGCTGCATTAAGATGTCCACATGAAATGCATTACCATGTGCAAGGTGGATATACCAATTCAAAACAGACGCTGAGGAAGCCAGAATGCAAACAATAGAAGAATAAAATAAAGCAATCATCCTCCAGGCCTATAAATTGTTTATTGAATAATTCTTGGAAAATTGTTTGAACAGTAATTAAATGTTAAAATAGAGAAATCTGTATGCAGCACACAGCCATAGACGCTGGAAAACACCTGCTTGCTCACATTGCGGCCTCAGCTCCCAGCGGCATGTATTTCTCCGCTGCGTAGCAGACCTGGGAATACATAATTTTCCTTCTATGCAATAATGATGATGAGATAATGATCAGCCTTGTATTTAACCCCAGTCGAAGTTATTCCCTGCTGTCCATTACTCACAGTGCTTGGGAGCAAACGCACCAATTAGAAATGTTGCCTGTCCTTTGGGCTTGACTAATGTAAGGTTTTCTCTCTCTCAATGTGGGAATAATCAGCATAAGTTTTGAAATACACAACTGAAGTTTTGAGAATGCTTCACAAATCATAATAAAACAGTGTTTATTGGAGCAGAAGACTTGGTTAGTAGGTTTTCCATTGGGTTAAAGCAAGTGTCCTTGGGAGCATGATTTCTCGAGCAGTGGGGGTATTCTGTTTATGCTGTATGTGCCCAAATGGTCCTTTCTTTTCATTAAGGAGACCAGGCACTGACTCAACCTTGCCAATGATTTCATTTTTCTTTCTTGGTTTTTAAGTTGGCATACAAAGTAATGGTTTTTGTTGCAGTGCACCATACCTGTCTGCGCTCTACGTGCCACCATACGGTTCGTGAGCCAGACAAGGGGCTGGAGATTGAAACACACAAAGACTCACAGACAGAGACAAGGTCATCCTTGATGCCAGAATGCCCCCTTTATTGTGTCCAGGGGCAGCTTATATAGGGATAGCCACGCCCCAGCCAAATGCACCAGAAACCAGTCCCCTGCCATCAGGA